GAACAAATGAGAGAAATATTGATGAAGAGAAATCCAGAGGATCTAGTGATCAACTGGATGCAGATTGGGAAGGGAGGAACCAGTAAGTTATCTTTTGAGGTGGATGGTGGCTCTGTTTACTGTGCCAGACAAGGATGACATCAGAGGAAGAACACTTTAATTAAGATACTACATCAGAGGTTCTCAACCTGTGGGTTGTGACCCCTTTGGGGGTTAAACGACCTTTTCATAGAGGTAGCCTAAGACCATCATCAGGACCACAGATGTTTACATCACAATGCGTAACAATAGCAAAATCACAGTTATGAAGTAGCAACAAAAATAATATTATGGTCAGGGGTCACCACAGCATGAGGAACTGTATTAAAAGGTCGCAGCATTTGGGAAGCTGAGAAATACTGGACCACATAAATTGAGGACCCAGTGCAAAATACAGAAACAGGGTCCCCTGCTGAACAGTCACTAAAAATTTCAAGACAGTGAGAGCAGGATCCTTTTAATCATGGACCCCTGTGTGACGGCCAAAGTCACAGTCCTAGAAGCCACCCCAGCTGAGACCTGTCTGTAGCGTATCAGCCATAGAGAGAAGATTTGCATACACCAAATCCCATCAAAGGACAAGTTCTGTAGCTGAGAGATGCCGCTGGTGCCCCAGGCTCAGGTACCTTGTTATCCTGCGTGGTCACAGAGACAGCCCAATGGCTGTCACCTTTGAAGAGCCAGAAATAACACTGGGTGCCCCTGATAGGACACAAATTTCTCATGTGAGAAGTTAGAGAACAAGGTGTTGGTCCATGAGTAAAATCCAAATTGCTCTCTTTGTGTAACCAGGTTACACAAAGGGGAATTCCATGTTGGCTGTCCAGTGATCTGCCCTTCCGCTGTGCTTTGCAACATCTGCTGGCCACAATTATCAGGTCATCCAATCCGGTTTGCATAACCCTGGCTTGATTTGCCCTGAGACTAGCCTTAACTCTGGGCCCCTCCTAAATTTTTAACCATCCAGATCTTCATTCCAAAAGATTCCTAAAGAACACAAGGCCAAAGTCAGAGGGGTTGTTCTGAGGAAGCCGTGGCTGGTAGAGCCATCCCCTGGGCTCCTGCTCAGTCATACTGTGTATATGTGGTACAAGTGGATGCAAGGAAACTGTCCAGGTCACTAAAGAAGGGTATTCGGGAAACACTAGAAATGTAAAACACTTAAAATAGTTTCACTTAAAATTAAAGTGAAACTATTTTACATGCTAGATAAGAAGAAATGAAACTCCCATTATCAGCCTTTTAAAGAGAATTTTTAAGATTTTATTATTTATTTAATTCTGTGTGTGTGAATGAGAGAGAGAGAGCGTGTGTGTGTGTGTGTGTGTGTGTGTGTGTGTGTGTGTGTGTGTATTACATGTGCATGTGAGTGCCAATTCCTAAATGCATAAGAATGCCCACGTAGACCAAAAAAGTCCATCAGATCCCTTAGGGCTGGCATTGCAGGGAGTTGTGGTTGGGAGCTGGGAACCAAACTCCAGTCCTTAGAGAGAGCAGCGCACATACTAGACATCTCCGTAGTTCCCCCAAAACAACTACTAACAGCACATCGGATCAAGATCTTTGAAAGACTTTTTATCTGGTCTGAACAATCCTACTCTCTCTACCCGTATCACACATCTGTTCCCCATGGTGACTCCATTGCCAGACCATCTGGCTAATCCCTGCGTCCAGCAACCTGGGTCCCTCGCCCTTTCCCTTGACAGCTCCAGTGTGCCACACAGGGCTCCCAGACTGTTCCCTAGAATTGCAGAAAGACATGGGGCAACTATATCAAGAAAGATGCCATTTCTGTTGGACATGAGCGGATTCCTCATAAGATCTTGTACACTATGCATAAGACTCTAAAATCTACTCGTGTGTACATGTGTGTGCAGACGCGCATGCGCGCGCGCACACACAACTCTTTTCTGTCCTGCAGCTAAAATGGTGATCTTTACCCAGCAGAGCTTCCCAAAGCATCAGGATGTCCTGCACCAATGAGCCCCTGAACTTGGACCTCACCACTTCTCAGCTCCTTGACATCTTGCAGTGAAGGGTGGGAAGGAAGACAGAAGATAATAAAGACCGTGGCCTCTGTGCTTATTTGGTGAGAAGAAAAAAAATAATAAAATCTCAAGCTGGGTGTGAAGGCACGCCTGCAATCCTCACGCTCTGGAGGTTAAGACAGGAAGATGTGTGCCCAAGGCTATCCTCAGCTACATGGGCGAATCTTGTCAGACAAAGGAACAATGAATATTTTCTTTTTAAGCCATGCGTAATAAAATTTTCTTTCGTTGGCAGCTGACTAGAAATAGGGGATACTTTGGAACAAGGGCAATAGAGGAGACATTGCCCTCCACACTCCGCCTCCCACAGCCGCCATCTGATCTCCCGGTGGAGAATTTTATTTAAATTCAACTTCCCTAGGTTCTGAACTGACTCAGGCTATTTGTCCCCAAGGAATGCAGATTGGTGTGTAACAGTCATGTCTTTTGGAATTCACAGCTCCAAACATCACCCAGGCTGACACTGTGCCCATCTCTGCCCAGGCATCCGCTCTCACTTCCTCCTCATGGGCACTTCCCTTGTCCCCAAACCCACTACCATGCAATTCTTGGCATTTATGTCTCCGATGTCACTGTGGGTTTGGGGCTTTTCCCAGTGTGTGCCAAAGGCTTCTCAGCTGAGCAGATGTCCTCCCAGACTTGAGATATAGGAGCTCTCGGCATGGTCCTTACTTGGCTAAACATGGACCAAGGAACCCATCTGAGGTTACTGAGGACCACTAAGAGGCTGAAATGTTGAGGAGAGACTGAGCAACAATTTGAAATCAATGGGGAAAGGAAGGATCAACTACTGGACAAATGGCTGAGGACAAATAAAGAATTCAGATTCCAACCTTAACCCCAGTTAGCTGAATATGTATTAAAAAAGAAATATATATAGCTTTCATACATCTCTCTTCTTCCTATCATTGTGAGAGTATGAAGTATACACACATGTAGCATAATAATATAGTAATAGCATATTCATGAAACTAATTATATTATAGTAATAGTATATGCTCAGACACTATTAAGATATTAACGTGTAAATGTGATGTATAAATGACATTAATATAAATTATATACTATAGTTAAGTACACGCCAATATATTTGTGTTTTACGTTAATATATTATGAAATAGTTGGATTGCATAGGTAAAGAAGATTATAGAAGAAGAAATGATGATTATAAGAAGATGTAAGAGGTGCTGCCTCTCCCCCTGAGCTGGCCTCCCACCCCTCTGCTTCCTGATGTTTCATCATCTAGCCCTGGGTCAGACTCATGGAGCTGTGCAATGCCATTCCCAAGGACAGCTGCTACCTTCTGTAGGCCAGACTTCGTGCTGGGGGTCGGACACACAAAGAAAAACACAACTTGCTCGGGAAGACAAAGGAGGTGCAGGATTGGCAGCAAGGGGGCAGTGGCTGTCCCAGTGAACTGAGGACAGGACAGAGCTGGGAGAAAGGGTGGTGAGGGTCCATGCTGTGTGGGTCAAGGAGGACCTCAAGCCTCCTCTGGGATTCGGACCCCCAACGCTGTGTCTACACCTCAAACGTGCAGCTCAGAGAGAGGGTGGCTTCTGCACACAGAAACAGACATCCTAGAACACCCACAAGTCAAAAGGGAAGAGGAAAGTGGAAGGAATGGAGCCCCGCCTGGCCCCTTGCTCTGCCCCTGTGGTTGGTAGAACTCACCCTGGAATAAATAGGAGTGGTTGGTAGAACTCAGCCTGGAATAAATAGGAGTGGTTGGTAGAACTCAGCCTGGAATAAATAGGAGCGGCAGCTCTTGAGCCAACTCCACTCCAACTTTTAGAAGGTTCTTCTTCCCTCTCTACAGTTTGTACGTTTCTGCGATGACACTTGCCAGCGTGTTGGGAGGAGCGGCCACAGCCCCTGATCCCGATCCACCCGTCACTAGGCGTCAGGTAAGACTGTCTAGGCCCAAGTGCCTGGCCCACCAGCTCTGGTGTAGTAAACAACCCTCTCCAGTGGGCAGACTTGGAGCCCTGTACCAACAGGATGTAAGAAGATAAAGAAATCGGAGAACCTGGGAAGCGCCCTCCTCCTGGGTCTACTGTTATCTAAGCAGAAAGCCCCTTAGCCAATAGGACATGTACCCGAGACTTCCCAGGGATCTGTGGAAGCACTAATGTCACCAGCTCTGTCTTTCAGCAAGGACAGGTAGTTGGACAGGTTACACATCTCCAAGCCTGGGACACTGTAAAACAGGGCCATGGTGAGGTCTACCTGACAGGCAGAGCAAGACTCCCAGAAGTCTAAGCTCCTTCTCCTAACTTCCCGTGCTGGGATCTGAAACTCTCAATGAAGCAAGGGCCAGAGCAAGGCCCGGAACTCTACTCTGACTATCTGTCCCACAACACACACACCTCTTCAAGGGACAGTCTTGACCAGGAGATGGAGGAACTGGAAGAGAGTGAGTTTTAAGGATAATCAGCACACACATGTTTCCTCAGGTAACTGCGTGCTAAGGTGAATTCCTAGTCAGAAAGAAATATCGGTTATCCAACCCAGGTTAGGTAGGGGAACCAATTATTTCTCAATCCTAGTATGTTCTGGAATGACCCATTTCTCCACGTCATTGTGACCTAAAGAGTGTGTGAATGGAACGCACAGTTGTGCATAGAACAGCTGTCATGCCCCTAGGAAATACAACTTTTTGTATTGAGAAGTTTAAAAAAAAAATTTTTTTTAAAGAGAGGTAGCCCGTGCTAAATATAGCTATATTGCAGAAGTTCATTTACCAGCTCTTGCTTACAATGCAAAAAAAGAAAAGGAAAAAAAAATTAAGCTAAAATACTGCATGGTTTAAAAGAGGGAGGAGGAGCTTGAATAACCTTTGCCAGGAAGTCTGCAAAAGGAGAGGCCCCAGGCCTTCGGTATAAAAGGGGGACACAGAAGAGGAGGTCTGCACGTTAGGGGCTTGCTCTCCCAGCACCAAAGCCACAAGGCAGCCTTGCAAAGACAGAGCTCCACCATGCCCGGCTCAGCACTGCTCTGCTGCCTGCTCTTACTGGCTGAGGTGGGGGCCAGCAGAGGCCACAATACCCAGGAGGGGAATAATTGCACCCACTTCCCGGTCAGCCAGACCTACACGCTTCGAGAGCTGCGGGCTGCCTTCGACCAGGTGAAGACTTTCTTTGTGAGTATGCCGCCTGCCTGTCTTTCTTCCTGGGATGGCCTGAAGTCCATGGAACTGTGGAAATAACCCTTCTCCTCCTCCTCCTCCTCTCCTGCTCCCACCTCCTGCTCCTCCTCCATCCCCAGCATCTATCCCCCTTAAAATTAAATCCAGAGAGTCCTGGGCTAAGCCATGGGTTAGGGGTTAAACTAAACCCAGGCACACAGGGAAAGCTACCTAGAAGGTGAATGCGTTGTCTCTCCCATGCTCAAGAACTTTCTGTTAACTTTCTTCTAACAAAGCTCTATATTTTGTTGGCTGGGACAGAAGTCTGATGTAGGGGGCACATACTGCCTCTGCTTAGTCTCCAGATCTGAGGCAGCACCTGGCATGGAGAGCTTGCCTTACAAGAGGATTTCCCTTCCAGAGAAGGCAGACAGCCACGCAACTGAGACACTCTCCATAAGGGACTCCAGAAAGGGTTGACACAGGTGCTTTTGAAACCTGATGTGGCCCATCTGAAAGAAGACCAGGCCTGGTCAAACTTCTCCTGGGCTGTGCAAGTCAGTCAGAAGCTTTTAGATAATGCGATTCTAAGAGGAAGGACTTTGATTTAACTCCAGGCTCTAGCACTATCAAATCCTGGTTTTAAAACTCTCAATATTTGCCAGGGCTACATTGATTACTAATTCAAAACTCGACAAATGGAGAGGTGTTCAGAAGACATGCATGTCAGGTACCGCCCCCCCGCCAGCCCTTGTATTCACGATTTGTTGTTGTTCTTCTTCTTCTTCTTTGCAGCAAAAGAAGGACCAGCTGGACAGCATACTGCTAACCGATTCCTTAATGAAGGACTTTAAGGTACAATTGAGTGGATGCTGGGGAGCAAGCGAGAGGTTGGGGAAGGGAGGAGCTGCTTGTGACAGCCAGCGGGAGCGGAGTCTGATGTCGTGACTTTCAAAAGGAGAAGTGGGAAGATCTTAACTCAGCATATTGCCAGCAGTCAAGGGCTATGAGGCACTCATTCTGTGGTGAAGGGAGAGAATGTAACTGGAGAAAGAGAGGGTCCTTGGGGACAAAACTGTCCACCAAGTTTGGGCCATCATTCCGGTAAGCCCCAACCTTTGATTCCTGCCCCTAGGGTTACCTGGGTTGCCAAGCCTTATCAGAAATGATCCAGTTTTACCTGGTAGAAGTGATGCCCCAGGCAGAGAACCATGGCCCAGAAATCAAGGAGCATTTGAATTTCCTGGGAGAGAAGCTGAAGACCCTCAGGAGGCGGCTGCAGCGCTGTGTGAGTAACAGACGAGATCTTTCCCTTGGGGCCACCCAACAAATGCCATCTTCTACAGCCCAGCCAGGCCACATGCATCCAGGCACACACAGACTAGACAGACAGACTGAGGGCTAGGTAAATCTACAGAGGCGCCGCGAGTCAGCTCTCCGGCTCGTCTGTCTCCGAGCAAGCGAGCGAGCGAGCGAGCGTGGGGGTGGCTTTGAGGCATTACACGTGAAGATTCGCTCATAGCCTTCCTGTTATTTGTGAGTCATCATGGGTTATTAGCTACTCCCCTCTCTCTTCATGGGAAGGCCAGGGCTTTCGTTACGGCTCCCTCGTCTCTTTGGACCTGGGCCCCTGGTTGCCAGCTGAGGCTCCCAAGCAGAGGAAGGCGTTCTCCTCTTCATCTCATCGTTTGGAAAGCAAACGCAGCAACACACAACTGGGCTGATAGAACTCCCCCTGGCATTTCAGCAGGGCCAGAAGACTACTGTCCCTAAACCAGGATCTATGAATAATACGCCCAGAACATCTATGTCTCTAACTGAAGTGGTGCCTTTGCCACACTGGTGGTTTGCTCTCTTCTCTCACTGATACTGGGAAATCAGTTGGTGTCTATTTGTGCAGCAGTTCTAAGCCAGTGATTTGGCCCCAGTAGCTGCGACTTTATCTCCACTCTCAGACACCTAAGACACAGCTCCTGGTAGTTGAGATTGGAGATAGACAAGAGGAGACATTAAAAACACAATACATGTTTTGGGGTTCTGAGAGCCAAAGCCCAAGACCTGAGTTCACACCCAGGCTTTGCAAACATCTTAATGATTCCAAAGACATACATTGCCTCTTCCTGGGTTGTTCTCCTCTGCCCCTACTATGAGAGCTAAGGACCAAGCAGGGCTCAGTTCATTCTAGGAGCGAAGAGGTGGGCCTAGAAGAGGAATCTGGCCCCTTCGTCATGCAACGAGGTTGCGTGCCATAGACACAGGACTGGAGCTGGGATGATTAACCCCCTCTTTTTCTCCTACAGCATCGATTTCTCCCCTGTGAAAATAAGAGCAAGGCTGTGGAGCAGGTGAAGAGTGATTTTAATAAGGTAAGCTTGGGTGGTAACAAATAGGGTGTGCATCACGTGACCCCTGTCCACTCACCAAAGGGCAGGAGGGAAGGACCTGTTCTATCTGCACCTAGAGTGTGGGAACCTGGCACATCATGTGGCCTCCTCTGCCAGTTAGGAGCCACCACCTCCTCTGTGACATTTGTTTTCTGCAAAGCGTGTCTGGCAGTTTCTAAATGACTGCTTCACCTTCGCAGGCTCTCAGCTTAGACTGACCAGACAACCTATGAGCACGGAGCGCTAGGTGCTGGGGAGAGTGATAAAGGAAACAGAAAGAACAGAAAGTACCTTGTTGGGAAATGGGCTGAACCCACAAGTGCAGAGAGCAGACATGAACACAGGCACACAGGCGCGCATCTCAGGGCTCAGCCTAGATGCCCCCCCAAAAATCAGAATGAGCAGGAAGCAGAATTCTTATTTGTCCCGGCGCTCTTTCCACCTGGCAAACAAAATGAGGTTTCACACTTCCAACTGCCTGTGAACCCATGAAACCCGAGTTCCCAGAAGCCATGTGGCCTACATCATCTTCGTGGGCTAGGCAGAGACACCTGGCAGGGCTCCAGCAGCAGTGAGCATGAATGAATCCCTTGACTGGAGGCCAGAACAGCAGGGCGGGGACTGCCTCAATGCCCAAATCATGAAATAAAATAGAAAACCAAGACTATTTCTTTATCTATCTACCACTGTCCTGCTTTCAAACTGCTTCCTCTTAACGACTTTGCATAACAATCTGCATAAGCATTATGTGAGCCCAGGCCTCTAAAAATGTTCAACAGATACCACTCTGAAGACAGTGCTTTGCGAAGGAGCTTCCCTCATGGAATACCGGCAGAGCTCAAAGCTGGGAGATGGTGCAGCTGAAGGCACAGCCCCCTCCTCAGGCACCGGGGTGAATCCTTGGGTTCCCCGAGGTCTGACAGCTCCCAATGCAAGAAAGCAACGAGCTTTCTGCAAGTCAGTCTCCTGCCCAGCCTAGTGCAGGGATCTCCTCGACCCTCTAATAGGTCTTAACCAGGTGTTTCTCTCCCTCCACAGCTCCAAGAGAACGGCGTCTACAAGGCCATGAGTGAGTTTGACATCTTCATCAACTGCATAGAAGCGTACATGACCATCAGAATGAAAAACTGAAACATCCAGGGTGTGTGGTGAATCTACGATGCCAGGGCTTAGCCAGAGCTCCCTGAATCTGATCCGGGGACTCTTATCGAGCGCAAGCAACTCCTTGGAAAACCTCATTGTACCTCTCTCCAAAATATTTATTACCTCTGATAATACCTCGGTTCCCTTCCTATTTATTCACTGAGCTTCTCTGTGAACTATTTAGAAAGAAGCCCAATATTATAATTTCACAATATTTATTGTTTTTAACCTGTGTTTAAGCTATTTCCACAGGGGATACTTTTTTGTGGTCGTTGAGTGTTCTAAGGGAAATTATATTCTACAATGGGGTGGGGGAGGGGGTCTTCTTTGGGAAGCCAACTGAAGCTTCCGTTCTAAGGCTGGCCACACTTTATAGCTGCCGACGTGTTTACTGTGGTGTTCTGTAATTTCTTTCCTTCCTGGGTTCAGAGCTCCTGACGTAGTTGTGAATACTCTTACAGGACTTAGGCAAAGAAACGAGGGAGCTCCCTTGGTGATTATCCTTCCAACAGCTCAGAGGGATTCCCCTGACCTCATTCTCCAACCATTTTGTTCTTGAAAGCTGTGGCCAGTTTATTTATAACCACCTAAAATTAGTTCTAATAGAACTCATTTTTAACTAGAAGTAATTCAATTCCTCTGGGAATGGTGTATGGTTTGTCTGTTTTTATAGCAGATTCTAATTTTAAATAAATGGATCTTATTCAAACCATGTTGTACTGTCTATTGAGTCCTGTCTGATTAAAATACGACCATGTCCCTCAACGCTCCAGAGGGCCAAAGGGTGAACGAATCCTGTATTCCAAAGAAAGGATACCGGCAGCCTCTCCAGGAAGGGATGGAGCCCAGATCCCATCAGGAGAAAATCTTGCTTCACTTTCAAAGCATCAGCATAAACCACTGAAATCTCCAAGCTTGGCCCGTTAAGATACACCCTGAAATCTTTAAAGGGCATGATAGCTTCCAAAGCTGGGAAGGGTCATTCTGCGCACACACAACCAATGCTAAGCAGGAGAAGCATAATGTGTCTATTCCTTCAAGCTCCAGAGGTCCTGGGGTGAATTTAGATTTGTCGGGGAGGGGGGGGGCACTCTGGAGGCTAACAGAAAGTCATACCTAGCTCCTGAAGCTGAAAGATAGTCCCACTCACCACTTTGGTTACTGCTGGCAATCACAATTGAAAACTCCCACCAACCCCACCTCCCACAACGCTGGTGATCTAAACCCGGGGCCCTTTCACAGGCTGAGCAAACATCTGCTGCTGAACCAAATCCCCAGCCCTTGGTGCTTTGAGACAGGGTCTCAACTAAAATTCAGGGTGGCTTTGAACTCAGCTCCTCCAGCCTCAGCTGTCCAAGTACTGGGATTCTTCTTCCGGTTGAGGTCAGAGGCAATAGAGTTGAGCCACGAGTCGAGGACAGGTAAACTGGCCTACTCAACAGGTTCCCACTGGATGCAACCAATCTGTCACTCTTTCTCCCCCACCCCCACCCCACTCCCCGGCTCCCGAGCCACCAGAAAAATGTCAGACTGACATTTGGAGGTGAGGGGAGGCAGCGGCTGGGGAAGCCCTGCTGAATGTCTCGTGACTTCGAGGATAAGGGGAAACAATGGGCTGAGTAACCCTGACACCACACACACACACACACACACACACACACACACACACACACACACACACACACACGTGCTGGCCAGGCAGCCCTGGGACAGGGCGGGTGGGATCGGATAGGCTGTGGTCATCTTTTCAGTAAGCCCTGACTCACTTCGGTTAAAGTAACCATCGGAAGGAAGTGGGAAGTATCAAAGCTGAAATTCTGAGATGAAAGCTTGGGGTTAAGAATGGGAGCTAGGGGCGGCGGGGACGGCTCAGTGGTTAGAGTGTTTGTCGAGCAAGGGTGAGAACAGGGGTTCAGATCCTTAGAACCCAAGCACATGCCAGTGGGCATGGCGGCCCGGGAAGGCAGAGACAGGGGATCCCCAGAGCGAGGTGGCTAGCAAGACGACTCATTTTAGAGAGCTCTGGGACTCTACCTCAGTGAAGAGGTGGAAAAGGAATTGAGGATGATTCCTGACATCAACGTCAGGCCTGCACATGCATGCCCACACATGTGCACCCACACACGGGTACCCACACACATACGAAGAATGCATGCACACGCCCACATCTAAATGGAAGGGGGGAAGAAAAGAAGAAGTGGGGCTAGCAGAAGAGGAGCAGAGTGCCCAAAGCTCTCATCCTGAGCTAGAGAAGTTCTGAGCCCCTAGCCAGAACAACTCCAGCAGCGAGGGCTCAGTGGCAGCCAGCCCATGCTAACTAGCAGGAAGCGGTATCGCATTCAAGCGATTGGGCATCTGAAACACTAGAAACACATCTGAAAGATCAATGGAGCTGATCTCAACAGTGGCTATGATTTTACCGGCACGTCTCACGGGTGTGTCAGTACCACACGCCTAAGTTTATCAGGCATGCTGTAGCTTTCGGTATTGCTGTTTCCTACAGACCCAGAAATGCAGTGCTTTTTCACTATTCAGTTCACTGTGCTGCCGTCAACAATTCAATATGTCTCGGTTTTTCGAGACAGAGTTTCTCTGTGTAGCTTTGGAGCCTGTCCTGGAACTCACTCTGTAGCCCAGGCTGGCCTTGAACTCACAGAGATCCACCTGCCTCTGCCTCCCGAGTGCTGGGATTAAAGGCGTGTGCCACCACCATCCGGCTAATAATTCAATGTTCTAATGACCATGTTGGAAGTTCAAGTTTTTTTAAATTACTTTATTAATCCAGCACTCTCTCAACCATGTGTTGATCATAAATTAATCCTAAGAAATATCTAGGGTCTGTGCTTGATACCTAAACTCTGTATGTATTTATCCCTATAGCTTTATACCTAATATTTACATTAATAATAATGTGGACATTAATTGAGGCCATTTGCTGGCTGCTTGACTACACACTTGGTGTGTATTAACTCTTTTGTTATCATGTGATTCTATGAGATACTATTAAGTTAATATCTCAATTTATCTTTTTGTTTTCTTTTGAAACAGAGTCTTACTGTATATCCCTGACTGGCTTGTAACTCACTATATAGACCAGGTGGCCTCAAACTCACAGGGATTCACCTGCCTCTGCCTCCCAAGTGCTGGAATTAAAGGTGTGTGCCACCACACCTAGCCAACATCTCAATTTCTTACACAGGAAAATGAAATACAGATAAGTTATATCATCTACCTCAGGTCATCCACCTACTAATGGCAGAGTTTGTGATCTTAATGATTGTATCAAACTCTTATATATCATTTTCATACATAAATTACTGAATAATTCTTTTTTCCCATATTGTTCTGCCTCATTAAAAGACATAGATATTTGCCAAACTGGTGGTATACACCTATAATCCTAGGATTTGAAAAACTGAAATGGGGAAATTGATCATTTGAAGGCAGCCTGGGCTACACTGCAAGAGCCTGCCTCAAAAACAATAAAATAGCATACACTTATACCCCCACATGCTCAAGAGGCTGAAGAAGGAGGGTCACTGAGTCTAGGTGTTCAAGGCCAGCCTGGGCAACATAGAGTGACCTTATAGAAAAGATAAAAATATACATTTTGGTATTATGTGTCTCCATTCTTATTTGTCTTGAGATATTTTTAATTTCTCTCCTAATTACTCTGACTATCTGGTTCTTCAGGAGCATAAGACATGTTCACATGTCTAATGTAGCCCATCACATGGCTGTGGCTTCTTCACAAGTGTCCACAGCACAGGCTAGATCTTCCTAAGGGCCAATGATCTGAAAGAGAACTAAGAAGAAGGTAGGTACAGCATCTTCTCTGGCCTAATCCAGGAAGTCTCATCCCACTGCTTCTGCCACATTCTACCTGTTAGAAGGAAATACGTATAAACCATATACACGTGAGGGGGAGGTGGGTTTCATCTTTTGAAGGAAGCATATTAAATGATCTGTGCACATATTTTAAAACTTCTGCACCCTGCAAAGCTTTAAGAGATAGTAGCTCTGTGCCCTTGGCTGGTGTGTGGAGCGAAGAGCTGCCTGGGAGCCGTCTGCATAGTTGGGCTGTCAGCATGGACATTGCCATCCCTAGGGCTCCCTCCTGCAGACTTAAGGCAGCATATTTATTTCGCTTAGCCTCGGTTTCTCCTTTGGAAAACCAGCAACTATCTCTTCCTAGATGGCTAGGTTGATTGTTTGTGTTCCTCTTCTCCCTATCCCTACCCAAACTCGTAGTAGTAGAGGCTTGACTCCCCAAATGATGACATTTAAAGACAAGGCCTTTGGGAAATGATGACCAGGGTTAGACAGGATGATGAGGGTAGAGTCTTCACGTTGGACTTAGTGCTAGCCCTGAAGAGTTGGTTCTATTTCCTTACCACATTTTAGGAACGATCAAAGAAGAGGTCTTATGCGTGCACAGTGAGATAGCATCTCTCTTCAAGCAAGAGAAGAGGCCGCAGGATGAAACTGCCTCGCTGGCACCTTGATCTTGAATGTCTCAGCCTCCAGAACTTTAAGAAGATAAGTTCCTACTGGTTAAGCAAGGCCACCTGCAAAATCTTTCCGTGGCAGCCCAAGCCCACTACCAAACACATGAGGTTTGGCATGAAGGCATCTCAGGTGTGAAAGCATATATGTGTTTGGAAGAGGTGGCATACAAATGATGCATGGGTGAGGGCTTGGGAAGAGAGCGAAAAGCCTTTGTTCCCTAAGAAGACCAGAGATCTCATCTCCCAAACCTACTCAGTCTCACGTGCCAGGCCTAGGGTGACAGTCGATAGTGAGACTCTCCATCCATCTGTGATCCTGGCTGCTGAGATGAAGAGGATGGAACCCAGCATGAGAAGTTCCTGGAATCTAGACGACCAAGTGATTGCTCTGCATAGATCTGGCGGAAATCAGGCAAACAAGCTCCTCCGTTCTGGGGATGGGGCATACTGTAAAGGATGGGATGACCACATCCGATGAAAAGGAAGAGCTAAGAGCCAGCTCAATGGCTGAAGCGCTCCATGCTGTGCCATATTTCTCCCTCAAACTTAATTTAGGGTTTAATTGTGATAAGATTTAACCAAAGTATAAATGGAGACTGGATCATAAAGCCAGAATTTAAAGTGAGAGGATGACCTTTGACCTCTTTTGTGAGCTACAGAACTGTCTCTAAAATGAACCGGTCAAATCTGTGTCTCTGAGGGCACCATGGGTCCCCTGTGTACAGGTTTCATTATTCAGTGTTCCCTTTCCCACGATACTCAGGTGGCAACTTCGGAGATTTACGTAGCCTAACTGGAACTAGAATTCCTCAATAGTAAAACACAGAACAAGGTCTAAATTGGTGGTTTTTATCCAGGGGCCATGAACAGGGGCACTTGAGGGGTGGGAAGGCGGGTACGGAGCAAGTTCCCCGACTTGAAAACACCAGCAACCCCTCCATAAGCCTGCACAGGCGAATTCGGAAGCGTTCCTCCCTGGGTGGCAGGAGTCCAAGGCCCTCTAGGGAGAAGGAACAACTGGTTGTTGCATGCTGGTCAAGGTCCACTCACTAGTCCTCTGCTGTATCTTTGACTAGCAGTTAGAAACGGC